TCTGTTTTCCACAGTGGTAGTACCATCAGACATTGGAGGGGGGGGGGGGGGGGGGGGGCATCTATCAGAACAAGGTCAGGGCCGGAAACTCTTGTCTGCCCCGACACAGGACTAACCTTGTTCCACGAGAAGGACGGAACATCGGTCTCGTACAATTCCATAGAAAACACCGCACTACTGTATACAGCGTACGAACAAGAGCAACTTCTGAGTGAGCGCACTCAGGACATGGTTGCAACAGCGCACGCTGCTCTGAGCACAGGTTCCGTACAGACGGATCAAAGGTACAACTATCCCAGGCAAAATCAATCGGGAACACACAAAGAAGCGGTGGGTTTTCGGTGATCTTGGCAGCGAGGGGAGCGAGGGAAAGGCATCACGAACCCGTCAAAATGAATGCACGTGATTGGGTATTGCAACTGGAACAAGAGGGGAGGCCCTTGTGGAGTATGGGTTAAAACAGGCAGACTGGGATGCACTGTCAATTTTCGGGAAAAATAAGAAGGTTGAGCGGAAAACATTCGTCTCCCGTAGTAGACAGCATCAGCACGTCAACAGAGGGTTTGCTTTCGGGTATGGTACAAGTCCTACGTAAAGAACATCAGAGGCCCAGGTACTTGTGGTGTCTCTACCAGGGCGTGCTGCTCCGGAGAAAGAACGACATCCTCCAGCGATGGGCGAGATTCTTCGGCACCCTCCTCAACACCAAGTCCCCAACCTTAACCCAGACATCATCCAACAGGTGACGCAGCGACCGGCGACACGTGCCACTCGACGGTTGGGAGCGGTGCAAGACCTCGACGAAGTGGAACGGGCGACGAAAGGACTGCAGAACTGGAAGGCACCCGGCAATGACTCCCTCCCTGCCGAGTTGATCAAGATCGACGACGATGACGACAACCCATCGCCCTGGAGCACCTCCATGCCATCCTCGTTGAGGTGTGGAACGGAGGAGAGATCCCCCAAGAGTGGAAGGACGCAACCACCAAGGTGTTGTACAAGAAAGGTAACCGATCCAACTGCAACAATGTCAGGAGGATCTCGCTCCTATCTCACGTAGGCAAGGTCCCGGTCAAGATCATCACCAACCGCCTAAGGGCCTTCTGCGAAACCAACAACATCCTCCCGGAGGAACAATGCGGGTTCCGACCTGGGTGATCCACCATCGACATGCTGTTCGTCGTGCGCCGACTCCAGGAGTTGGGGCGGAGAAGAAAATACCACTCTACGTGTGCTTCGTCGACCTGAAGAAGGATTATGATTCGGTGGACCGAGAGCTGCTGTGGAAGGTCCTGGCCAGGGCCGGGATTTCTGAGGAGATGATCGCCGTCATCCGCCAATTCCACGACGGAATGCGAGCCCGGGTGCGTGGACGACGGAGAGTTTTCGGCCTGGTTCTGGGTCACACAAGGCCTACGACAAGGGTGTGTGCTGTCCCCACTGCTGTTCAACATCTTCTTCGCCGCGGTCATCGAGGTCGTTGCCATTCGATTCATCGAGGATGATGATGTTCTGCAGAACCTGGTGTACCTGGAGGAGGAGACGGGAGCGGGGGCGAGGACACCACTTGACCGAGTGCGGAGGGCGGTATGGGGGGTGCTGTATGCCGATGACGCCGGCGTCGTATCGAGGTCTGCCGAAGGACTGGCGAGAATGATGACCGTCATCGTGGAGGTGTTCGGGGAGTTCGGGCTGACGGTATCGGAGAAGAAGACGGACTCGCTCCTGATGCGCGCAAAGGAGAAGCAGACAACAACACCACCCCCACCCCCACCGCCACCGCTGATTATCGAGGCAGTAGGGCACAGGTACGCCCAGACGACTGAATTCCGGTACCTAGGTGGCCTCGTCAACGAACATGGCGACCTCACCCGGGAGATCAATTACCGGAGCAGAACGGTGTGGGCATGCGTCAGGAGATATGGCCAGGAGATTTTCGACAGGCCGAGAGCACCGTTCCGACTCAAGACTCGCCTGCTCCAGACCCAGGCGATGGAGGCACTGCTGTACGGCTGCATGACATGGGCCCCACGTTAAGACCAACACCGGACGTTGCGGACGATACACCACCGACTGCTCCAGCGAGTTATCGGGTACCAACGCAAGAAGGGCACCTACCGGCAGCTTTCCTACGCCCAGACCCTGAAGAGGGCAGGGTGCCAGAGCGTGGAAACCAATATGCGGCAACGGCGCCTGCTGTTCGAGGGAGCTCTGGCAAGGCAGCCAGACGGACGACTCCCGAAACGGGTGATGCTTGGGGAGCTGGTGGTGGGGGAGGACCCAGGCAGGGGGAAACCGGAGCAAAACTGGCATACGTGCCTGAAGGACGACCTCAAGATGTTCGAAGCAGAGCACGGATCTACGGACGCCGAGCCATGCTTCTTCGGAGTCCTGGAAACAACTTGGATGGAAGCAGCGAAGGTGGACCGGGGGGTACGTGGAATACAGGGGTACTGCAGGGAGCTAAGAGGTTCATGGTCTCCTGGCACAAGAAGGAAGAGGAGGCTAGCCGACAACGAGCGCTCAAACCAAACAAGAAGCCCGGCAACAACACGGACACGGCAACAACCACGGGGGCGGGAGAGATACAGCACGCGGACGAGACGGCGAGGAAAGACAGGAAACGCGAAGAGGCGGACCGGAGTAGCCTGGACTACCTGTCGTTGACTTCTATTGGCTTGCGGGCCCTCGGGTCCATTTTTTTTTCGTGTACCTTTTTCGGGTAAGTTAGCCTGTATTCACGGGAATCGACCCCGTCAAGTGTTTGACAAGTACGGACAGAAGAAGATACAGGTCAGAGAGAACGGAACGGTTTTTAATGTGAAGACAACAACAACAACAACAACAACTACCAGAAGTAGGGATGGCGCTCTCCGCCTCGAAAGGGATCCGTGGTTAAGTCACCGAAAGAATAAGGCAAGCTCCAGGCGACGACCCCCCCCCCTCGGTGGCGTTTTCCATCGGGGTTGGGTTTTCGTCGCTGGCAACGACGTTGAAAAACAAGCCGATCGCTTCGGGAGCTCGGCAACCAGGTTACCGCTGTTTTTTTTGCCTCCGTTTTTTTTTTTTGCGGTAACCATATTGGTGGTCGAGTAGATCCATGTTGTGCGGGGTCGAGAACCCTCACTCCGCGCAAGGGGGATGGTCGCACCACGTTGTATTAAAATGGTAAAAGCATCCTCGAGGCAATTACACAGTGCTTATGATTGTCTCATTCGCAGCTGTCATCCGTACACAAGGAAGTAAGCACAAGATGCCGAACAAACATAGTAGGATGCAGCGCACCCTTCATGCGACTCGCCGAATACCTCACGGCGCTTCGCGCTTGGTGATGTGAGAGCGTGGTTCGGTGAGAACCCGGCGTGCTCCGTCCCGGGTTTGTAGGGATGCGAGGTCAATGGTCTAACGAGTACGGCGTGCACGACGATGAGTACCTCCCCCCCCCCCCCCCCCCCCGACTAAATGTAGATCCCCTCGGTTATCCGCGTAACATGGAGATAGTACAATTGGGCTCGTA